CCTCATGGCTAATGGTATGACATACCTATGATGCAGCTTCCAAAACAAAACCACTTTTGAGTAGTATTTCATTGTTAAAATGAACAACAATGTCATGTACTGTGTGCTCAATCACAAACAATTAAGCAAAATTCTGGATGTTTTCTGTGGAAATAACATTCATTTCATTCTATACAATATTTTAAATGCATTCCATTCTAAAGCTGATTTCTTCAAATCTTATGTATTAAAGAACAATAAAAATAGAACAAGAACAAGAAATTTATTCAGTAACAGAGGTCATAGGCCAAGAGTACAAAGCATTGGATCACCCATGTGCACAAGGACAGGTGGGACAAATGTTATTCTATCTTAATGCAGTGAAAATGTATAGCTTTTAAGATATGGCATATTTTCGTATGTAATGCACATAATAATTAATGAAACATTAGTAGACCAGCATTATGTATTTATTGCTTACTATATTTAAGATTCTTTTTTTGTCAGATACCCTTCAAGGCTGAATATATTTGGGTATGACATGAAGCAGCATAGTGGCACATATGTTACTGATAATGAATATCTTAAGATATTCGGTAAAAGTGTAGGTCCTGGATGTGATTTTAATTGTTTCTCTTACAATATAGAAATCTATACATTGTGAAAGAATAGTGATAATGAGTAGTTCGGACTGCTTGGTATTCTTCAATAAAATATTTGTTATGCAGATCAGGAGCAGGTATGTGGAAATATATGGGATATCCAGCTTATATCCAGTGCAAATCATCAACCATAGGAATGTTCAGTAATAGATGGTAGAAAAATGCCTATAAATGGGTTCGGTCATAGAAATACCAGCACGTATATATGTCTAAAGTGAAATGGTGTGTGAGCTTGCGCTTATGATTAAGGCACTTAAGAAGAAGAGCGAGTGAGTGAGTATGGTTTTATGCCACTTTTAGCAATATTCCAGCAATATCACAGCCAACAGGGTCTTCGGCGCCTTAACCACTAGGCTACCCCACCTCGCCAGAAGAAGAAGAAGAAATTATTTTCTCAAAGTGTCACATGCTGTGGTACAAAATGTATAGATATAGTATGATACATTAAAAAGAGCACCCGGCCAGTTGGCCTACGAGACACTAATTACTTGATGGTACAAATAAAATATAAAAGTGAATAAGATAGTTATAACTACACACACACACACACGTACGCACGCACACACACACACACACACACACACACACAGTAGGTAGGTTGTGTCAAACACCAATAAATGTTGCAGGTTGTTAAGCAGCTATGAAGATATATGTGACTTGCATTTGCATGCATAATGTAGCATATCCAATACAACTAAAGAAACCATTCTCTTCCCTGCCGGCCCCCACCCATCCCACACCCAATTCACGGGGTCATGTTCACTCTCTCCGACTTGTTAAGTTATAATTAAACTTTTGAATCATGCGAGATTATGGTCTGACAAAAGTGTTCGTCATATCAGCAGATTAATGATGAAACCCTTGCCATGCCGACATTATCTTATTCTCATCTATTTTTGCAATCTTTTGCTCAGTTTCTACATTCAAATTTCTGGCTAGTGAATTATTTTGTGGGCTAGTAACTTTCAGGCATAGGTAGCCCGACTGGGTAACAAAATTTGGAAACCAGTTCGCACACTGACTTGTAATATACTCATGCCAATAATGGTTGTCACCCCCTTCAGTTTTTTTAATTGGAGAGAGGGTGTGTGTGGGGGTGGGGGTTGGGGTGGGGAGGGGGGTGACAACCATTATTGGCATGAGTATATATTAAACATGTTATGCACACCCTCCCTCACCTTCAGTCTGAATGAATAGAACATAGCCGATGTAAAACCTCTCCCGTCTTTCATTCTGTGTGGGTTAGTTTTATATCCGATATACCCTTCCCGTCTTTCATTCTGTTGGGGGTAGTTTTATATCCGATATACCCTTCTCGACTTTTATTCTGTATGGTGTAAGTTATATATCCGATATACCCTTCCCGTCTTTCATTCTGTGAGATACCCTTCCCGCCGTTCCTGTAAGTTTCATTCTGTGGGGTTAGTTTTATATCCGATATACCCTTCCCGCCTTTTATTCTGTATGGTGTAAGTTATATATCCGATATACCCTTCCCGCCTTTTATTCTGTGAGGTGTAAGTTATATATCTGATATACCCTTCCCGCCTTTTATTCTGTGATAAGTTATATATCCGATATACCCTTCCCGCCTTTTATTCTGTGAGGTGTAAGTTATATATCCGATATATCCGATAGACCCTTCCCGATATACCCTTCCCGCCTTTTATTCTGTATGGTGTAAGTTATATAACCGATATACCCTTCCCGTCTTTCATTCTGTGTGGCTTACTTTTTATATCCGATATACCCTTCCCGCCTTTCATTCTGTGAGGGGTTAGTTTTATCTGCCTTTTATTCTGTATGGTTATTATATATCCGATATACCCTTCCCGCTGTGAGGTGTAAGTTATATATCCGATATATTCTGTTCCCGCTTTTTATTCTGTGAGGTGTAAGTTATATATCCGATATACCCTTCCCGCCTTTTATTCTGTGAGGTGTAAGTTATATATCCGATATATTCTGTGAGGTGTAAGTTATATATCCGATATACCCTTCCCGACTTTTATTCTGTATGGTGTAAGTTATATAACCGATATACCCTTCCCGTCTTTCATTCTGTGTTGCTGTACTTTCTTTATCCGATATTTCCCGTCTTTCATTCTGTGGTGTAGTTTTGTATAGTTATATATATATCCGATATACCCTTCCCGCCTTTTATTCTGTGAGTGTTATATATCCGATATACCCTTTTCCTGTGTGAAGTTATATACCCTTCCGATAAGTTATACCGATATACACTTCCCGCCTTTTATTCTGTGTGGTGTAAGTTATATATCCGATGTACATGTATACCCTTCCCAACTTTCATTCTGTGTGATGTCGTATGATGACAATCAATGACTGTTTACCAACAACATTGCACACCTGTAATACTGCTGAAACAAATACATGCTCATGATATAGTCAGAATTGTACATTCGACTCTGCTTTTAGTAGAGATTACTTATGGACGTGGAAAAGGTTTGGCCTCTTCTGTTGATATATCCGATATACGCCCTTCCCTCCTTTTTTCTCTGTGATGGAAGTTATATATCCGACACATCCCCTTTGCCTTTCAGCCTGAATGATAAGCATGTGCAACGTGAATGACCCACTCCCCTTACAATTTATGTACAAAGTATGTGACACCCCCATGCAGCATGTAAAGTACAAAATCAATGACCGCCACTATTCCCATAATGTCACTAAGCATCGTTTTTAATGTCATGTACAAAACATCGTTTTTCTCTCTTTCTCTCTCATCTACTCTCTCTCTCTCTCTCTCTCTCTCTCTCTCTCTCTCTCTCTCTCTCTCTCTCTCTCTCTCTCTCTCTCTCTCTCACTCTCACCTCTCTCACTCTCTCACTCTCTCACCTCACACACACACACACACACACACACACACACACACACACACACACACACACACACACACACACACACCACCCTAGTATTTGTGTACAAAATAGATGTCCCTTCTACCTCCCCAGAACAAAATGGGTGACCCCCCTAAAATCATCATCACCCCCCGCACCCCAGCTATAAATTATAAACGGTCCCAAATGTGATTTGTTTGGCTTCAGCTTTGAGCCGTACCCAATACAGCTGAACTATGCAACCAATTTAAAGTAAAGGATCATTTAAAATGCAGCAAATTCGGTCACAAACACCTGAATACGGAAATGTTTTCACAGTTACATAGCTTATTACGACAAAAATCAGAATTATTTCAGAACACAATAGGGTGTTTGAATTATTTCCATTAACGTGGCCGATTATATGATATTTATTACGTGATGTAAATTACATGATGCTTGCATTATAAAACAACAAAGTTAATGAAAATGAAACGTCATACACCATGAGAGGTTTGCTTGAGTGGGAATTGCCACACGATATAAACGATTGAATAACTGGCGAGTACAAAAATAATTAGAAACTCTTAAGGTTCTTCCAACCTATATTGGAAAATTAAATGTGAGCTACATATTTGCAGAGGAATATGGAAATATGTAACTGATAATTTTCAGTGTCTCCTCACAAAAACATTAACTAAATCATATTCCGCGCATAGATCGCCTTAAGTTTTAGAGTTAACCGGGAGCAGTACTGCAGTAAATAGGGTTTTACGAAATTGTGGACTGTTTATCCCAGTTCTGGTCGTATCCCAGTTCTGGTCGCTAAGGATATGATACTGAGACATGCGCGCGCACCTGTGTGTGCTTGTACTTATGAAGACTAACACTGGCTTTAGTGCTAGCCCAGGGGGAAGCCATGCTGTAGTTTCACGTGGCTAATGTGACCTGATTTCAGTCTGTTTATGGCCATCTGGTTATGATAATTAACAATCAGTGAATCCCAATTCGCGACAGTTAATGTATACTGATACATCCTAGTTATATCTCCTTAATGCCTAACACCAGGCGGGGTAACAACAAGCAGCAGTCTTTTGGTATGACGTGACTTGGAATCGAACCCCGAACTTCCGCTATGAGGACAGACACCCTACCCTCTACACCACGGAGCGATAGATAAAGTTGGCAATGGGGTATAGTATAGTACGGTTATACGTGTTCACTAAGGGTACACAAGAATACTTCTTTAATCTACATACATTAACATCCCACAAGTACATCCCTCCCCACTGGATTCGCGCGAATTCTTCTTCCCCAAATGACGTTTAAACATACACCGTCCCATTTTCGCCACGACATAGGGGTTGAACTGAACAAAACGTGACGTGATTTCCTACCCACATACAGTGCGGTTTACCGCACTTGAATCCGGTTTGACAACCGGTTCACCTGCTCCTAAAGGGGTCATTTTTCGCCGCTTCTACAAAACAAATAAAGGTCAATGACCGTCGCAACTTACCTGCTATACTTAGGTCTCCGACAGCGAGTTCTTAGTTCCCGAGAACGCCTGATTGAACTGTGAGACAATTTGCTATATATTGCTGTATTGTAACTCCGTGGCTGATGCAATGTTACCACCCTCTTGCCACCACCATATAATGAACCGGAACAACGAGCTCATGAATAAACGGCGTTCTTAGAATCCCGGATGTCAGCAGAACTTTTATTTGACACCTGTCCATAAGCTGTTTTCTTTGTGTTACGTAAGGGAATAGCCATTTAATAATGGAGTAGTGGTGGTGGTGTGTTTGCGTGCGTGCGTGCGTGCGTGCGTGCGAGTGGTATTGGTGTCGCGGATATTAATATTAGGCTACATACTGCTTCATCAGCGATCTTGAACACCCATTAAACAACAAGCGTGGAACTTGTTTGAGTGGCATTTAGAAGTTGGTGTGATGAACAACGAGGAGAGTTCTATGGATATACAACTTCTTTAATATAATATGAGCGACGTTTCGGTGTAGCCACTACCACCCTCATCAAGCAAAGAGTTCTATGGATATACAACGTCTTTAACATAACATGAGCGACGTTTCGGTGTAGCTACTGACACCGTTATCAAGCATTTAATATGAAAGAAGTTGTATATCCTTAGAACTCTCCTCGTTGTTAAACAAGCGTGGAAGCTGTTTTTATGAACATGACTGTATAAAACGATTTCCAGGATTCAACACACACATTAAACAAATATATACATGTATACTACTTGTTATAAACGTTACATGTTGATGTTAACTTGTACGCAGCTTTTCGACATAATCTAGCCGTTTACTCGTCAGTGGTGGCAGTTGGATGTGTGTGGATAACATTGAATGTGAAGGCATGTAAGACATGAGGGGTGATATGCAGTGAGGTATTATTACTGGCCTATATTTACAGATCCGTAACTGTGTGTGCATGGGGGTTGTTTGTGCCACGGTGCGATGGTTGTTATAGTATGTGTGTTGGCGAGATGTGTGCTATTTTAATATCATCATGGTATTTATCCTTGTCTTATTGTGTCTAATAGGCCTAAAGAGGCCGGACTCTGTACCAGGGTGTGAAACACTGTAATAAACAATTCTTCTTCTTCTTCTTAATATCAACAACCATTTCACACACACACACACACACACACACACACACACACACACACACACACACACACACACACACACACACACACACACACACACACACACACACACACACACACTCCGCCGCACCATCTGTCTGTAGAAACCTTTGTCCCCCACCATTGTCCTCAACCTGGGACACATGTACACACATATGCACCACCCAGACTTTGTTAATTAAATGTAAGCTGAATCAAATGTTTATGTTCACTTAACCATGTACAGACCATAATTACACGTTTAGTCTCCACCGGCTGCTGACAAATTCCTATTCGATTATTACAATATTATTACATACCATTCATTCAACATGGGAAGTATGATTCGCTAAATGGTTACATTGTTGTGTCTAGTAGTTTAAACCTTAGTAAATTATTCATTTGATTAACAATACCATGTAACCTCAGATTTATGCTTGATGTAAATAGCACACATCAATGTGCGCAGATGTCGACACGTACGTGTGCCATCTGCATGACCGACATGTTTTATCTAATTAAATGCCTTTAGCCTTATATTTCATAAATAAACGGATGATAACACCATGAAGAATAACTTGTTGTATGAGCAGGTTCTTGTGCCGATTTCAGTTATATTGAAATTCTCATATAAAGTTATTCAAAAGCATATAATTGATACTTTCTGATAGAATTACTATCATGGGTAGAAAAATATGCAAATGAGGCCATGCATCAAGAACACTACTGCAGTTCCATCGCAAGATTCACCCACTTGCTGGAACAACTATACTCACGAAAACAGTAAGGGATCATTAATATGTTTTGGAAGACTCAGCAAACAATTAAAACGATAACCTTCTAAGAAATTAATGATCCCGAAGTTTTTCTCAGTATGCATTATTCACAAATAAACGACGGCTCAGTAAGCATTGTCTTTCAGTTAATTAAACATGGCACTAACTTCGCTAAACACTAAGTTTACGGTGTTTGATATGCTTAATGCATGATGTACCGTTTACGTAAATAATATCACGAAAGATGAGATATATATTATTAATGGGATTAAGGCACAGTCCTGAAGTTTATTCTGTTGTATATCAACCGAAGGGGATGACGACGATGACGGTGATGAGAACAGTGTTTGCCCTTAACCCTGAAAAGCTGCAGGCCCTAAGGACCCAGAACCATAACAAGTTGTGGGTCTTGATCAGAACGTGTAGGCCCTATGTTTTGGATATATAAGTAATTCCCAGCAAACACAACTTGTGACAACTAACAATCTGCAGTCTGCACACCAGCATATATCCTCTACCATGTTAAATGAAATGAAAGCGATACCCTGTCAGTGTATGGCGTTTGCGATGCATTCGGATAACTTGTTATAGGTTAACAGATCATATCTCAGTAATCTAAACTGCTTCCTCGAAAATGATAGTCGTTTCACTTACAAACAACAGCTGCTGATCAAGATATAAAAACTAGAAATTAGTGAATGATATTTTCTCAAAAATAATAGTCTTACTTATTGGGGATGAAAAAACTGTCAGCCATAATGACCTCCAGGAAACATAAGCTGCGGTTTTCAGTCGGCTTCGGACCGACGTTAATTTCGAACGCTGGATGAGAATGAGAAGAACAGATATAACGTCTTTTTCGATAATCACTCATTCTGACTGCTCAAGATGCACAAGCATATACGGGCGGATTGAATGACTGAATACAACACTTTTACCATTATTCTGTCAGTAGCACCGCAGTCTGCGCAGAGAAGACCAAATATTGTGTCACAGATTTTACCCATGTGGGGTACAAACCCGGACCTTCTATAGGTGACAAGCGAAAGCTTTAATCATAAGGCCACCTCCCAGCCCCTATAAGCTTACATCTGTTGCTGAAATAATGATCAAAATGATATATATATTAACAATAATAACATGACTAGGGTAGGAAATATTAACACTACCAGCTGCGTATCGACATAGGGACACCACGTGCTCTCTAAGTACACATGACCCCGTCTACCCGACTGCCTTATATAGCAATCATAGCCGATAGTCCAAGCAAGGAAAGGTACGTGTCGTAGAGATAGAATGAAGTTACTAAAGAATATTGCTGAGATTCTCATACCTTGTTTAGACATACTGTCCTGCGGTTTGGTATATACACCCAGTAAGGTGCATGGCCTGTTCTGTACGTCGTAGACTGGCGACGAGATATTGGGCCTAACTAACCTGTGCCTAACGCGGAAGTGAAGCTGCACGAGAGATTAATCAGGTAAACACCACACGCTGTTCTCGATAATTCACCCAATCCTGATGCTTTTATCTATAGCAATTCTCGGAAATAGTTGTGTTAAAATCAATCGCGATAGGCGGATGTTGGGTGGTGTGTTTGTTAAGCGGGAAAGGTACACACAACCAGTGGTCGAACACACCCTGCGAAGCTTCCGATTGCTAGGCAATACTTCCTTCATGAAGTGTGTGTCATTTAATGTAAAGTTTTAAGACCGTTTGTTAAAATATGTATTAACCAGACACAATCTTTTATATGGTTTACAAACCTAAGGTTCAGTACATGTCACCACGACCGACACTCGCGGAAATATTCTAGCAACCACTCAGTACAGGGGCTGTCCGTGAGCAACTCGTGTCAATCCGGGACAAACCGAATGTAGGTTACGGAAAGGGTCGAATGCCGACGAATGCTCGTGAGATACCTGCTAAACGGGATATCACAAGAGTCTAGTCAAATTTCTAAGAAATGTGGATTTTAAGAATGGATGAGGCATTTTTGAGTAAAAGCAAGCAAACAACATTTTCTAGGGTAGTTTTTCGTGCTGGATACGAATCTGTTGTTTGCTAAGCTCAAAAATGCCTAATTAGGTCACAAATTGGGGTCAAAGGCCAATGAGTACAAAATTCCATTTTTAAAAAAAGTGTTTTATTTATCATTCTACATCCATACAATGAACTCATTTTATAATATATTGTTTAATAATGGTACCACAGGATTTCAAAATGTTGGATTTAAGGTGACGAATTTACTCGCCTGTTGATTGTAAACACGTAGACAAAATGTCCGTACGTTTGCAAAGACGCTATTTTTCTCAAATCTTGACTTATCTCATTTATTGATAAAATTGATATCGAGTGATTCTTCATTCACTTGTAAATCTGGTTCATATGTACACATTGTTCGGAACAAAGGCTTATGTGACCACACCATGTCTCGTTAGATTGTCTGGTTCCCATATTTCTCCCAGTTTGTTCTGAATAGGAACATTTACCTGAACCCGAACCATTAACACTTGAACGTGGCCGGTAACGATTACCTTAGCTGCAACAACATGCAGCAATCACATCTAAAATCAAACACTGGTTCTGTTCCTGCCATAGACACAATGTGCTAAGTCTAATGTTTCGTGATATGGCAACAAGCCCCAAATCATAATTTGATATTTCAAAGTAAATGATTGATATTAGAAATTTAAATATATAAGTTATGCTATTTGATACATGAGATATGAGAAAATCGAAAACTGGCTGTCTTATGATATCATTATATATATTTTGTGATATCTACAATTCTTAAGTACATTTGGTATTAAGCCAACTTAATGTTATCAATGAATCAAAGTTTGGATAGCTAATAATCGAATTAGTAAAATTGGTAATTATTCAATGTGCTTATGATACAGTGAAACGTAGAAAATTGATGTAGTAAAACTAAAACACACGCTGCAGGTTTTATTGATATCTAAATTAGAATCAAGGGTATCGATAAATCATTTTTGATGCCTGAAAATATCGAATTGTGATCACCCTGAATTGTTTTTTTTATGTAAAAGAAATAAGGGAATAAATGGTAAAACAGGCCTCATAGAAATGTCCTTTTCCAGTTCGGAGGAACCAGTATCAAAGGTCCAGACCATCGACTGTCGCTATGTTGCAAACAAGCACGAGACTCGCTGTTATCCTCCTCCTCCTCGTATGTCCGAACTGTCTGGACGGAGCCAACATCCTCATGTTTCCGGGACCATTCAGCCATTTTGGGGTCATGTCTCACATTGCTAAAGAGCTGAGCAGAGAAGGTCACAAGATTACATTCATTACGTATAAAGCCCAATGGGTGAAAAAAGCCGACCATTTCGACCTGTGGACGTATAGCGATGATAATTCCGACTACGAGAAGGTGATGGAAGAGTTGTTTGCCGACTCTCTTGCAGGAAGGAGTCAATATGAAGGTGACAAGATAACCCGCGGACAGGCGGCAGTCGACAAGCAGATGAGGGATTTTTTCGAATCTGTGCCCAAATTTCGTGCTTCAGCAGAGAAAGAAAAATTCGACTTGGCTGTGGCGGATGCATTTATTGTCCACGGAATGCATTTCATTAAATCTCTCAATCTACCATTAATTGTATTCGCCTGTGGGGCGTTTGACGCCGTTCAACACGCCCGGTTGTCACAGACGCCGTCCCCGTTGGCGTATGTGCCGGTTGGATTCACACCTTTACAGTTAACGGACCGGATGTCCTTCCTGGACCGGTTGACCAACACTGGACTGTACGTCGCCAATCAGCTGGCCCTTAAGTACTACTTTGCCACCATGAATCAGTACGCCAGGAACTCTTTGCCGGAAGTGCAGCATCTGTCGTATGAAGACATCATGGCGGACGCAGAGTTGTGGTTGGCTAACACTGACTTCACTCTGGAGTTCCCGCGACCTCTCACCCCAAACGTGGTCTACGTGGGCGGTTTAACCACAAAGGATTCACAGCCTCTGCCGCAGGTAATTGACTAATATTTATTCTCTGAATATATATAATTTGTATAGAAACAAATAATTCCTTTTATGCTGAAAATGAATGAATTTAGTTTTACGCCTCACTCAGCAGTATTCCGGCTATATGGCGGCGGCCTGTAAATAAGCGAGTATGGACAATCCAGTGATCAACAGCATGAGCATTTATCTACGCAATTATGATACGATGACATGTGTCAACCAATTCAGCGAGCCGGACCACCTGATCCCGTTAGTCGCCTCTTACGACAAACATGGGTTACTGAAGATCAATTCTAACCCGGATTTGCACGGGTCCATTTACAAGGAGGTGAAGTGAAATTGGGTTTAACGTCGTGCTTGAGAATATTTCGCTCATATGACGACGTGCATGCGTGTGTATGTGTATGTGCGGCAGCTTGTACAAGCCCAGACTTAAGCTGGTTTTATAGTGCTAGCCCACTGAGATACCATGCCGCAGTGAAGCATGAATACCCCACTCAGACATATTATACTGACTCCGAGCCGACCAGTCCTTGTTGTACCCATTAATGCCGAGCACCAGGCAGGGACAAACAAGTACCATATTTCAACGTCTTTTGGTATGACGCGGTCGGGGATCGAACCCACGACCTTCCCCATTTACAAGGAGCCCCAGAGAGATGGGTGATTCAGAAACTGAGGAAATGTAGAATTGCTTCCTTTAGGGCTTTAGCATTGTAGAGAGGGTTGGACGGAAGGGATGAATCTGCTGTTCAGGGACTCTGAAACAGACTACCAAAGGTAACATCCATATGATATGGTGACCTGTTGGGGCGGTGGGGTAGCCTAATGGTTAAAGCGTTGGCTCGTCACGCCGAAGACCCGGGTTCGAATCCCCACATGGGTACAATGTGTGAAGCCCATTTCTGTCGTCCCCAGCCGTGATGTTGCTGGAATATTGCTTAAAGCGGCGTAAAACCAAACTCAGTCAGTCAGTCAGTATGGTGACCTGTTAATAAATGCCGTGTTAAAGACCACAATGACGTAACTGTATACCTTATAACTTTACTTAAGAACTCCAGTGTTATATAATTTCATCACGGAAAGGAAAGCATGTACTACAAAGCAAATCAGTACCCACAGAAAAACATTAAGTCACCAAAAACGCACAAAGTGAGGTCAAAATCAAAAAAGCGATTCTGTCGAGTTCAAAGGATGTAGAGGCGAATGGGTTTTTTATAAGTGTTCATGTACGAAAATTACTTGAGGTAAGTGTATCCATCTTCGATAAACAGGGTATTTTACCTCCATCCGTCAAATAACCCACACTCATTCCTTATCGTGGCGTTGATTTGTAAAACCGATCACAATTTCAAGGTGCTAAAATAGCATCCCATTCGTAATATCTCGCATGAGCAAGAGACAATCTGCCAAGTTATGCATTTTAGAGATAGATATAGTGATGTCACTTTCGACACGAAGGTATGGCTACGAATAGGCTCAAGACATGTATCGTAATAACAGTGAGGTATTTAACCTTAGGTGACCGAGGACGACATTATTCAAGCCCTTGCATTACGACCTGTACTCGCGTGGGCTATGGTATCAGTGAGTTTGTGATTCAGACAGTTATTGTCTGTTTACAAACCGCCATCGTCAGACGGGAGAACTGCTGTGCAGGCAACGCACACAGCATTATGAAACTATGCGAGTTGTGGGTTCTTTCCGTATGGCTGGACATGCTGACACATTTCACCCAAACCTGGAGTCATCATTAGCAGTTTTCAGTTCGTAGAATTTTCACCTTTTCGTGTTATTCACCCAATGAAATCTGTTCGTTAGATAATCGAGACTGGTTAGTCTCTGGCGTTGACGTAATATATTTTTGCCTTTGCTAGGACCTAGAGAGTTTCTTAGCAGGATCCGGAGACGCTGGCGTCATCGTCTTCAGTCTCGGCACCACCGTCAAGGATCTAGATGCAGCAACTGCTCAGGCATTTGTTGACGCCTTTAAGTCTCTGCCACAACGCGTCATCTGGCGTTACGGGGGAACCAAGGTCCCTCCAGTGCCAGACAATGTCAGGATCATGAAGTGGATACCGCAGAATGATCTACTTGGTAGTTTCTTACAATGTTTGGGTCATGAATGATATACCACCTAATGCTATACTTGGTCAGTGTTATCAATGTCAAGGTCTTGAAGTATATATCACTTAATGATCTACTTGGTCAGTTCTACCAATGTCAAGTTCTAACAATGTCGAGGTCGTGAAGTATATATCACTTAATGATCTACTTGGTCAGTTCTACCAATGTCAAGGTCGTGAAGTATATATCACTTAATGATCTACTTGGTCAGTGCTATCAATGTCAAGGTCGTGAAGTATATATCACTTAATGATCTACTTGGTCAGTTCTAACAATGTCAAGGTCATGAAGTATATATCACTTAATGATCTACTTGGTCAGTTCTAACAATGTCATGGTCATGAAGTATATATCACTTAATGATCTACTTGGTCAGTTCTAACAATGTCAAGGTCATGAAGTATATATCACTTAATGATCTACTTGGTCAGTTCTAACAATGTCAAGGTCGTGAAGGATATACAACAGAATGATCTAAATCTAACAATGTCAGCAGTCCAACTCCACACCACAGAATGATCTACATGTACATGGATAGCTTCAAACAAGAGGCAACACCTAACGGAAGTTAAGGGAAATGTTTCTCCTGGAAATGACCTCAAGTTCCAAACGACGCGTTTGTAGTGTTTGAATGCCAGATTGATGATCCTGGGAGTTACGTTACTTTGTATTGTATTTGCACATATTCATAAATCTAAGTTATTCCTTGGCAGGTCATCCTAAGGTCCGATTGTTCTTGAACCATGGAGGTATCAGTGGAGTAATGGAGGCGATATACCACGGTATTCCCATGGTGGCTATTCCGATATTCGGCGACCAGTTCGACATCGTTGCTAGGATCGTTGCTAAGGGAATGGGTCTGAGGATTGACGTCACGAATATTACGAAGGCGAGCATCTTGTCCTCTGTACAACAGGTGCTTGGGGATAGGAGGTAAGTGTGCTCGTGTGCGTGCGTGTGTGTGTGCGTGCGTGTGTTCGCTTCACTAGACACTATTAAAGCTACACAGCACAAATGTGTTGAGAATGTACACATACAAAACATGTTTAGTTCTTTACATGTCTTTGAATGAGTTTTAAATCCAAAAAGATACAGATGAAAGGGTTTTTCTGACATTTAAACCCTAATCAGTACAATTTAGCAGTTTAACACAGCTCTCAAAGCGTCAACATTTTAGGTTTGTTATTAAATTGCTTATGGCGGCGTGTAAATACTGCAAATACTTGATCATGGATTAGCCTATCCAGTGATTGATATAGTGAGCATCAGTCCGTGCCGTCGGGTTACGATGACACACTAGCAAATGCCTGATCCGATATAGGCGCTTTTCCATCCGTGATATGACAGCAAGTGCCGTCATACCTCATACCTCACACCAGAAATGGGCTTCACACATTGTACCCATGGGGGAAATCGAACCCGGGCCTTCAGCGTGATGAGCGAACACTTTAACCACTAGACTATTCAACCTGTCGTCCATTTGCATGTAGTCACCTGTCTTTTAATGTCTTGAATTTTTAGATTTTATGACACTTCGAAGAAAATGTCCGCCATCATGAAGTCACGTGAGCAGCATCCCATGAGAAGGACCGTCTACTGGATCAACTACATCCTTGACCACGGCGGGCAGCATCTACGACCGGCGTCGCGGGACCTGAACTTTCTCCAGTATTTCCTCCTCGATGTTATAACGTGTATTGTCGGTGTTGTTGTCGTATTCTTGTGGGTACTCAAATGTCTGTGTTGCTGTGGCCTTCGTTGTTGTTGTAGAAAGAGAAATACTAAACCCAAATTAGAATAGACACATGTTTTGCTTTCCAGATAATCCTTTTTGCCTTCCTCAGTCAGAAATGTGAATTGTGTGCCATTCCCCTCTCAAAAAGGACATGGAGTCAGTTATATAACAAATTTTATCACGAGAATAGCTTCGATCTAGTTGCAGTTAGATCATTGGCATCGGATCGCAATTGAGTACCTTGATGCTTCTGATGACAATGTGTATTCTGGCCCAGATTCAACGTTTCACAAACCCCTGTCTTTTATGACTGACGCGGGGAATGTTGCTGACTGCATAAACAATGAACAACGATGCGAGTTGAGTTGTCACAGAAGAGTTCGACGTTACATTCGTGACATGACGTCATCGGCGTTTCAGTGTGACATCATGCCTGTTTTCCAACTTCCAGGGAGTGCTTCAGAAAGTGACCGATAACCTTTCTGTTTTACCATGTCGATACACAGGATGTGATTTCAGATTTGCGGGGTTTATTAAGTATTTGGTGTCATTGAATGTTTACCTCAAAAGCTCGGAATGAGCAATGCCCGTCGGTCACGAAAAGAATTTGTGGGCAATAATTACTCAATAAACCCCGGAAATATGAAACATGTGACATATGTTATATTTGGGATTACACTTTCTTAGTACAGATAAAAAACAGATGAAACATGTTTCGTTTATACAGCCCAACGTAGTTCTACCTCGAATAATCAGAATTTCAGTGTAAATATTTTAATATACCTATTTTGTTGTAACGGTTGTCTGTTATTTGTCAAGGTAATATGTTTGGCGTGTTTCGTCTCTACTCGTAGTATTGATCGGTAAAAACTGGAACTACTGGTTTGTCGCGCATCTTGCTCCTACAAATATGCTAAAATTAGACAGACAGACTGCTGTAGTGAGTGAGTGAGTGATTTTAGTTTTACTTCGTTTTTAGCAATATTCCTGCAATATCACGGCGGCGGACATCAAAAATGGGCTTTACACATTGTGCCCATGTGGGGAATCGAACCCGGGTCTTCAGTGTGACGAGCAAATGCTTTAACCACGAGGTGTTTTGCCGAGGCATCGGTGTTACAGTTGCCGCTGATGCCAGCATGGCTGGGCAGCCAACGCAATATGATATCTTTTTCAACCAGTGATAAAATTTGGACTGGTGATATTTAAAAATTTCAGCTACGATTGGAATTCAATTTTTCAGAAAATATACTAAGAGGCAAAACTAACTGTGACTGACGTTTTTCTGCGTTATAACAGTTTGAAATCTGAATTTGAATTCGAACTGTACTTACATGACTGACACACATATCCAGAACACAGCCACAGCCGGTCTGCACACTCTGCTTGCTTGTTGAGAGCGTGGAGGAACATTTTTTAGAAACGCATGTACAGGATCTCTATAAAGTTGATGACTCGTTTTCACTTTCATCGTTGTCAACTCTGAAGTCATAAAAAACAAGTCAGTTTTGCATTTTGATTGCACATCAATATACCACGTTTGACTGAAAATGAGAGATGGAGAGCTATTGACATGATTGAAGCTGGTACACCTCGCACGACTCTTTAATGTCCATAGAAAGATGATATGCAATTTATGGCAACGTTATCAGCAGAATGCCAACGTTCAAGACTGTCCTTGACGGTTACGCCCACCAGTGACCACGTCTCGTAACGACAGATGGATCCTTACCACCCATCTCCGTAACAGGTCCCAACCTGCAACACACACAGGCAGTACCAGGAACAATTGGAATCTCGGCAAGGACTGTTTGAAAAAGCATGGTTGCTTATGGGATGCCTGCACGACGTCCTGCCAGAAGGCCAATTCTGGCGCAGCAACGCCAACGTTTACGACTTCAGTGGTGCCGATATCACTTGCGATGGAGAGCACATGATTGGGGAATGGATTCTACACTGACGACTCACGTTTCTCGTTTCATCGCTCTGATGGGAGGTGTCGACGTCGAGGTGAACGTTACGTTACCCCGTGTGGCATGGAAGGAGACTGTTTTGGAGGGGGGTGGCGCTATGGTATGGGGTGGGTTTAGCACACGAGGGAGGACGCCACTACACATCATTGATCGCAACATGAATGGAGCAAGGTTCAGGGAAGACATTGTGAACAGTCATGTTCTACCGTGTATACAGCAACATGGCCCAGGTTTGCTGTTTCAGTATGACAACGCCAGATCCCACGTTGCCAGGTGGTGCAGCATTTCTTCACGCAGATCAACGTCGACGTGTTGCCAAGGCCAGCGAGATCCCCAGACCTATCGCCTGTAGAGCATGTATGGGGCGAAATGGAACGGCGATTGCGACGTCTGCAGCCAACCACAATGTTACAGGAATTCCTTCAAGCGCTTCCAAGGAAATGGAAACAAATCCCCCCCCAGGACTTTCTCAGACGTTTGGTCGGTTCCATGAGGCGTAGGTGTCCGGCATGTGTTGATACAGATGGTGTACACACACGATATTGAATGTGTGACTCTGCCTGGGACCCCATCATGTTCAGTGCCCATTTTAGCGTTAAATTTTATCGTTTACTCCTTGTCAAACTAATGAGTGAGTGAGTGAGTATGGTTTTACGCCGCTTTTAGCAACATTCCAGCAATATCACGGCGGGGGACACCAGAAATGAGCTTCACACAGTGTGCCCATGTGGGGATTCGAACCCGGGTCTTCAGCGTGACGAGCGAACGCTTTAACCACTAGGCTACCCCACCGCCCTTGTTAAACTAACGACAAGTCATCCATCTGTATGTGAAAACCAACCAGTCAGATTTAATGCATTTTGTCAACCTATGAAAATGTGATGATTGCTAATCACAGTGACGTCTGTCACATATATGAAGCTTTGGCTGATTGTTCAATGTATTGTAACACTAATGATATAGCCCGAGCTTCTGCCGTAAAAATCGAGCTTCTATCAAATGGTCGTAAGACATAGTGCAGTCTTGAGTAACAGATATAGCTGATACCTTCTCATCGTCTTTTGATCCATCAGTGTAAATATTGGTATGAGAGGGATATTGATCCTTCGACGCTTGTTGGTAAAAACATTGGTTGCTTAGGTCAATAATTAATAGACGCCAGTGTGCATATATTGTCATGAGGGCATTGTTGTTTTTTAATATATGTCTGGGATGTTAGGAGATGATCAGGTTTGCATACCTTGAAGGAAATGTGTGTGTGTTTGCGTGTGCGTGTGCGTGTGCGTGTGTCTGAGTGAGAGAGAAACAGTCAGACAGAGACGGAGAGAGACAAAGAGAAAGAGATAGAGTGAGGCAGAGAGATAGAGAGAAACAGAGTCAGACGGAGAGAGAGTCAGAGAGGGACACAGAGATTCAGACAGACGATGAGAGAGAAAGAGTGAGGCAGAGAGAGAGAGAACAAGAGAGAGAGAGGCCGCGACGGAGAGAGAGAGGCCGAGAGAGACCGAGAGACAGACAGAGGGAGACAGACAGACAGACAGAAACAGAGTGAGACCGAGACGGAGAGAGAGTGAGAGACAGACATATAGAGAGTGAGAGACAGAGAGAGAGAGAGAGAGAGTGAGTCAGAAAGAGAGAGCGAGTGAGACAGAGAGAGAGAGAGCTGGTTTACCGGGATGTACGTGCACAGCTCCAGACGGAAGTGACATAGATGTGTACTTTATGATTCTTGTTTATACCTTTATCATTAAAGTGCACATTCAAGCATAACGAACTCTTGCTAGGTACGTTAAGTGGTTAAGTGCTTCAGACAATATCGACAAATAGGGCAAATGTGTATTAAGTAAAAACTACAAGTTAAGAGCATTATTCCGGCTCTTCAAACCTCTAGAGTGTACTTTTGATAAAGTGCTTCACAAACACATGCTGATATAGTGTCGGGAGGCGCTACTTCCGGTAGTAAGCTGGTTCCTGGCTCCCTTTGCGCACGCCAACTTGCGATATGCGAACGCTTTCTTCCGGTACCAGATTTATTCAAGAACCAGTTCTGGTTCCAAATTACGCGACCACCAAATATGACTTTACTAGACCGGACCAAGTGTACTACCATGCTTGGCTGTCACAGCTGTTGACAGTCGTAATAGTTGGCTAATTTGTGGATGTTAGATCGGAAATTGTTATTCCTGCAAGGTCAATAGGTTCCTTATTGTCAACTACCAACCATGAGACCATTCGAAAATGTATGAAAGGTTGTATGTCACCGGAGTGAGTGAGTGAGTTTAGTTTCACGTCGCACTCAGCAATATCCCAGCTATATGGCGGCCGGTTTGTCACCGGAAGTACAAAGGCCTCACGAAGTTCCGTGACCTACTTACGGGTCCTACTGTAGGCCGAATGCAACAGTGGAACCTGTTTTAAACAGGAATTTGTTATGATATTGTCGCTTTTATATGCACGCAATTTCTTTCTACACTGGAGGCATTTCAGACGACACAGTCCAGTCGGTTAATTCATGGCCGTTCAACTTTGTCAGTCGTAATACCGATACAGCTACATACATACCCGATCTGTTTACGATTTGTAATTGTATCGTGGTTTGTTATGCTCATTAACTAAGCTGCTAAAAAGGCACGATATGTAATTACTTGTGACTGAATTTACATATCACTTAATGCGGACAGGTAGTAAGTCTGGCTGAAGCTTGGTGTTCCAAAACATAGCAAAATAATATTGACCATAATTGTTAATTATTTTGTAGTTGCTCTGAACATTTTTGATACACAATACTTTTGAGTGTGTGTGTGTGTGTGTGTGTGTGTTTCCACCCATTTTGTTCTGGAAGGGTGGGGTGTGTCAGCAATTTTGTACACTTAAACTAGCGGGTGGGGGCAGCACTTTTGTACATAATAATATAAAAATATGCTAAAAAATATGGGAGGTCATTGATTTTGTACATGACATGCAGGTCACTTTGTACATAAATTTTAAAGCGTGTGTGTGTGTGTGTGTGTGTGTGTGTGTGTGTGTGTGTGTGTGTGTGTGTGTGTGTGTGTGTGTGTGTGTGTGTGTGTGTGTGTGTGTGTGTGTGAGTCACATTCTACATGCTTCTCCAAAACGATCATCAACAACCTCCCGAGCCATTAAGCATGAACGGTTCCTAATGTGCTTAAAAACAACATTTCGTTCGAACGATTTCTTATAAGAGGTTCTGTAAGTATTGTGCATACAGTGTAACAGATTGTTTGAGACAAGGACTTGGCCATGAGTAGACATAGATGGTCCTTGAAAATATGCTTGACAATGTCCTTGTAAATGATGTGAAACAGTGGGAAGACTGTGGCAGTGTTTTACGACCAGAAGATAAATTACGGAAGGAATATATTCATTAACTTTCCTTGAGCCTTGGGTCCAGCAAAACGTAGCTTTCGTCTGATTGCAAACTGATCAAAGCGTCTCGGTGTAAAACAATTTAATATATCTCAAATGACGACACAATACGCCTCATCGGGTAACTAATGGCAACAAATTGTTTCGATTCTTGCCATAAGAAACTGGGTGCAGTTATACCTGTTGTCAGTAAATGAAAAGTAAAGTGTTGTTTTTATCGTTATTGTGATCATCCACCAGACCAAAGAGTTCGTCAAATAGATTGCAATTTCTAGAAGAGCTTATACGATCAATACACTTCGTGTTATTTATGTTTAATAAATATCTCTTTTCTTAACATACCACCAGGCCTTCTATCGCAGAACGGGACATTATTTAGGATCAATTGTTGTGGATCAATATAAAGGTTGGTGTCAAAGAAACTGAAAGGGACACAG